TATTATTATTATTATTATTATTATTATTATTATTGACCTTCTGGTCCCTTCCAACATTAATATTAATATTAATATTAATAATAATAATTGAACCATCTGGTCACTTCCAACATTATTATTATTATTATTATTATTATTATTATTATTGACCTTCTGGTCCCTTCCAACATTAATAATAATAATAATAATAATAATCGAATCTTCTGGTCCCTTCCAATATTATTCTTATTATTAATGATTGAACCTTCTGGTCACTTCCAACATTATTATTATTATTATTATTATTATTATTATTATTATTGACCTTCTGGTCCCGTCCAACATTATTATTATTATTAATAATAATAATAATAATAATAATGATTGAACCTTCTGGTCCCTTCCAACATTATTATTATTATTATTATTATTATTATTACTATTGACCTTCTGGTCACTTCCAACATTATTATTATTATTATTATTATTATTATTATTATTATTATTATTATTGACCTTCTGGTCCCTTCCAACATTAATAATAATAATAATAATAATAATCGAATCTTCTGGTCCCTTCCAACATTATTGTTATTATTATTATTATTATCGATTGAACCTTTTGATCCCTTCCAACAGTATTATTATTATTATTATTATTATCATTATTATTATTGTTTGGACCTTCTGGTCCCTTCCAATGCTATGATTTGTTATTACAGTTGTTGTTGCTGTTGTTGATTATCTATTATGGCCCACGTTTCTATATTATTATTATTCTCGATGATGTGTATATCATTCTCTATAATAGTATTATAATAATAATAGTTTGGGGGTTTTTTTTGCTTTATGGAACTGGCATTGCTTGTATTAGGTATTTTCGGATTCCATTAATTAATAATAGTTATTGTATTGTCGAAAGCTTTCATGGCTGGAATCACTGGGTTGTGTGTTTTCTGGGCTGCCTGGCCATGTTCCAGAAGCATTCTCTCCTGACGTTTAGCGTGCATCTGTGGCAGGCATCCTCAGAGGTTGTGAGTATTTTATTATTATTAAAATTGACTATTCCCTCTCTATCTCCCCCTAGTGGCGTCTGCCTGGATAATGGAACAGTACCTATTATTAAGGGCCCCCCTTGGTGGTGCAGCAGGTTAAACCGCTGACCTGCTGAACTTGCCGACCGAAAGGTTGACTTGCTGAAAGGCTGGTAGGTGAGCTCCCGCTGTTAGGCCCAGCTTCTGCCAACCTAGCAGTTCGAAAACATGCAAATGTGAGTAGATCAATAGGTACTGCTTCTGCGGGAAGGTAATGGCACTCATGCAGTCAAGCTGGCCAATGACCTTGAAGGTGAGTATGGACAACACCGGCTCTTTGGCTTAGAAATGGAGATGAGCAACAACTCCCAGATTCGGACACGACTGGACTTAATGTCAGGGGAAAACCTTTAGCTATGCCTCTCTATCGCCTCCTAGTGGCCTCCACCTGGATAATGGAACAGTACCAAAAAACACAGTTTTCAGTGACTGTTTTCATTTTGGGACCTATTCCATCCAGTGCAACAACCTGAAATGACTGAGCTCCTCAACCGTCCCTTGACAAACGCAAAAGGAATGGACGCAAAGCAGCTTCCCTCCCAACTGAGACCCGAAGGACCGGATTTCGAATCACCCTTGGTGTCATCCGTCCGTCCGTCCCCGCCTCGTCCTTATGTGCTTCAGAAAGGTCGCTGCCAAGAATAACTCGAATAACGCCACAGGAACACACTTTTCCTCTTTGACTCATTGGCTGCTCACTTGGGCATAAATCCTTGTCTTCAAAGAACCTGGATTTCGAAGCCTGCAAGATGTCCACTAGAAATTTCAGCCTTTTGTTCCTGTGTAATCCCACTCACAGAGTTACTGGACACCTCATCGCTGGCCTCTGCTCCAATGACAGTATCTAAGTCGGCGCTTATGTGAGAGCTTTGGATTGTATAGGGAAGGGTTTGGGTTTTCTTTTTTTGCTCCTAATGCAGTGTTTCTCAACCTTCCTAATGGCGTGACCCCTTCATACAATTCCTCACGTTGTGGTGACCCCCAACCATAACATTATTTTCATTACTACTTCCATAACTGTAATTTTGCCACTGTTCTGAATCGTCGTGTAAATATTTGATCTGCTGGATGTATTTTCATTCACTGGACTGAATTTGGCACAAATGCCCGATACACCCAAATTTGAATACTGGTGGATTGGGGGGGGATTGATTTTGTCATTTGGAGTTGTAGTTGCTGGGATTTATAGTTCACCTACAATCAAAGAGCATTCTGAACCCCACCAATGAGAAAATTGGGCCAAACTTCCCACACAGAACTCCCATGACCAACAAAATACTGAAAGGGTTTGGTGGGCATTGACCTTTAGTTTTGGAGTTGTAGTTCACCTACATCCAGAGAGCACTGTGGACTCAAACAATGATGGATCTGGACCAAACTTGGCACAAATACTCAGTATTCTCAAATGTGAACACTGGTGGAGTTTAGGGCAAATAGACCTTGACATTTGGGAGTTGTAGTTGCTGGGATTTATAGTTCACCTACAATCAAAGAGCATTCTGAATCCCACCAAAGATAGAATTGGGCCAAACGTTCCACACAGAACATGTTTTGAAGGGACTCGCTGGCATGAGTCTCCCTCCAGCCTTGCCCGCTCTCCCTTTCCCACACATGTGCACCATGCTGCCATGCACTGAGCACACCTGCTCTCCCCTCCTCGCTTGGTGTGTTTGAAATAGCCCTCCCCTTGTCTGAGAGGCTGGCCAATCACAGCAAAGGAGGGCTTTTGGTGGAAGGATTCGCTATCTGTTTACGAAAAGGAAAAGAATGACAGGCGGAGAGATCTTCAGCCTTCTTTGCCAAGGGGGTTCCAAATACCATTATGTATATTTTTGATGGTCTTTGGCAACCCTTTACAACCCCCTCATGACTTCCCCCCAAGGTTTGCGACCCCCAGACTGAGAAACGCTGCTATGGAGACTTATATGATTACACATGTGCAGTTTCAGCATCTTGTGATAAATAGAAGTGGGTCTTTAATGAATGCCGCTTGTATAACTCCAGCCAAATATATTCATAGTACACATCAATTGAAACCGATCCTGTGTAATCCCACTCACAGAGTTGCTGGCCACTTCATTGCTGGTGTCTACTCCAATAAGTGTATCTAAGCCAGCTGTTATGTGAGAGCTTTGGATTGTATAGGGAAAGGTTTGAGGTTTTTTGCCCCTAATGGAAAACCTGTGATTTGGTGCTGTCTGGAAGCACCCTGAGTTAAAGGTCCCATCGGTACCAAAATCAAGTATTGTTTCAAAATTATCTATCGTTGCCGCCGTAGAACGAAAGGCTGCATGGCTTGAGCATTGGGTAACGACGCCGGGACGCTCTCCTCGGCTCCTCGTTGGGGTGACTCAGCCTCCTTTGCATGGATAATTGTCGACCGCAGCATCTTCCCCGGCTGTGAGTCGTCCCGAAATTTGTGGCCGATCCAGTTTGGCCTCTCTGGGCCGCAGCGTTGCCAGCCCCGTGGATCAGGCGTCAACCCTCTCCGAAGCACCTCCAAAGCTATACTTAGCCCAGGAAGCTGCACCCAAGTCGGAGCGAGAAGCAAGAGCAGCGCCTGATCTTCCTGGGATTAGTTTGAGCCACGGCGTTATGTGATTTTGCACATTTCTGGATGTGATGACAGCATCATCCGCAGCGAAGACTTGGGGATTTCTTTGACAGTCGGTGCGGATCCTTTGACTCAGGTTAGCCTTGATATGGTCAATAATATTGTACTTATTTCCCTTTCCTTTCTCCTCTTCTCTCTTTTTCCTTTCTCTTGTTTTCCTTCTTCTCGTCCTTGTTGCCCTTCTCTCGCTTCCAAACTATCCATATCCTTCTTTAAATATGGCACCCAGAACTGAATATTTCCTTTGGAAACTACTTTGAGGTGATGCTTGAACATTATTATTCCCAAAATATTATAATTAGTTGGCTTGTTGGAAGATTCTTATTAGGCATATACATCAATAACTAGCTTTGGTACCCAGTGTCCGAAAAGTCATTTTTTAATTGTCCAAAAGGAATAAGGTTGTGGGTGAACTACAACTTCCATCATGCCAGGTCAATCCCCTAATACTCCATCAGTATTTCAAGTTTGTTGCAATAGGCAAGTTTTCTCTAAATACATCATTGGTGGGGTCCAGTATACTCTCTGGCTGTAGGGTAAACTACAACTCTCACTATGATGAGTCCATCCCCTCAAACGCCCCCTGTAGTTTGAGTTCGTCATGGGGGTTCTGTGTGCCACTTGTGGTCCAGGTCCATCATTGGTGGAGGTCACAGTTTCTCTGGTTATGGGTGAACTACAACTCCCAGAAAGGAAGGTCAGTTCCCCCCAAACCCCTCCAGTAATCAAATTTGGGCATATCAGGTCTGTGTGCCAAGTTTGGTTCAAATCCATTGGTGTTTGTGTTCGGAGAGATCACTGGATGTAGGTGAACTACAACTCCCCCAAATCAAGGTAAATTTTCCCCAAAGACCTCTAGTATTTGGTGCTGGTCATGGGAGCTCTGTGTGCCAAGTTCAGCCCAATTCCATCTTTGGTGGAGTTCAGAGTGCTCATTGATTGCAGGTGAACTATAAATCCCAGTACCTACAACTCCAAAATGTCCAGACCAATTACCCTCAAAACCCACCAGTATTCAAATTTGGGCATATTGGGTATGCATGCCAAGTTTGGTCCAGATCCATCGTTGTTTGGGTTCATAGTGCACTCTGGTTATGGGTGAACTACAACTCCTAGAAAGAAAGGTCAGTTCCCCCCAAATCCCTCCAGTAATCAAATTTGGGCATATCAGGTCTGTGTGCCAAGTTTGGTCCAGGTCCATTGGTGTTTGTGTTCACAGAGATTACTGGAGGTAGGTGAACTACAACTCCCCCAAATCATGGTGAATTTCCCCCAAAGACCTCCAGTATTTTGTGCTGGTTGTGCGGGCTCTGTGTGCCAAGTTTGGTCCAATTCCATCTTTGGTGGAGTTCTGCGTTCTCATGGATTGCAGGTGAACTATACATCCCAGGACCTACAACTCCAAAATGTTTGCGTTCACAGTGCTCTCTGGATGTAGGTGAACTACAACTCTCCCAAATCATGGTGAATTTTCCCCAAAGACCTCCAGTATTTTGTGTTGGTCATGGGGGCTCTGTGTGCCAAGTTCAGCCCAACTCCATCTTTGGTGGAGTTCAGAGTGCTTATGGATTGCAGGTGAACTATACATCCCAGGACCTATAACTCCAAAATTTCCAGGACAATTCCTCTCAAAACCCTTCAGTATTCAAATGTGGGCATATCGGGTGAGCATGCCAAGTTTGGTCCAGATCCATCCTTGTTTGGGTTTATAACCTGCTCTGGATGTAGGTGAACTACAACTCCTCCAAATCCCTCTAAATACCTCATGGGGTCATTTGTTGGTCATGGGAGTTCTGTGTGCCAAGCTTGGTCCATCTTTGGTGGAGTTCAGATTGGAGGTGAACTATACATCCCAGAACCTACAACTCCTATAAATCATGGTGAATTCTCCCCAAACCTCTCTAGTATGTTCTGTTGCGGATCAATGCCTCTGTTTGCTGTGTGCCATAGGAAAGAATAGGAAAGGGTTAAGGGAGAGGCAGTGGATGGGGGTCATGCAAATTCCACACCAATGGAGAGAGTAAGGAACACCGGGATGCCTGTGGTGGAGGAAACACATAAAGTCTCGTATGGAATTGTCCACATATGAAAGCCTTCACTTGGTGGTGGGCAGTGTGGTGTTGGTGGAGGACATTGGCCGGGCTCTTGGACATGTTTACGACTCTCGTTATAACCTGCAATATCATTGGATGGAGGGCCATTGGTGTCTCCTGAGTGGTGAGAACTATATCTGTTTGTGGAGGCTGGATGGGCGAAGTTGAGATATTCTGGAGATGTCAAACAGGAAGAAGGAAGGTGTTGTTGAGACACACACACCAGAATTGCTTGATGAAATCCTGGCAAATGTTCCTTTTTCCCAGTGTGGATGCTGTGTCATGTTTTATTGTAATCTAATTATAATACGGGCACTCCTTTTCCGGAGTAAAATGGTAAAGATCTTTGATACACCCATCCATGCTGGGAAACGTAATTATGAATAACTGCACTCATGGTCCCTCAGACTGGGAGTGAAGCTCATTGGGATTATTGTTGTTGTTGTGTGTCTTCAAGTTTCAGACTTATGGTGACCCTCAGTGTAAAGTCTAGTGTGAGCCATTGGTCTTGGAGGGCCATATCTGTCCCGCAGGTCATTGTTTGGGTAGTGTGGGCCTGCTTTTGGCAGATGAGTCAAGCCCATTAGGATTGTGGTTGTTGTGTGCCTTCAAGTTGTTTCAGATGTAGGGTGACTTGTAAGAAACTTGACTATCTCATCCACCAAAGGCAGGTCCACACCATCCAAACTATGATCTGAGGGCCAGATGTGGCCCTCCAAGATCATTTACCCACCCTAAACTTTAGACTTAGAGTTGCCCTACATCTGAAACAACTTGAAGGCCCACAACAACAACAAGATCTATGGAGGGTCAATGATCTTTGAGGGCCGTATCTGGCTCACAGGTCGTAGTTTGCATAGTGTGGGCCTGCCTTTGGTGGATGAGAGAGTCAAGTTTGTTAAAATTGTTGTTGTTGTGAGATTTCAAGTTGTTTCAGACTGAGGGCGACCCCAAGACTAAAGTTTAGGGTGGGTCAATGATCTTGGAGGGCCGTATCAAGCCCTCAGGTCATAAGTTTGGGTAGTGTGGGCCTGTTTTTGGCAGATGACAGTCAAGTTCATTAGGATTGTGGTTGTTGTGTGCCTTCAAGTCATTCAGATGTAGGGTGACTTTAGTCTAGGGTGGATCAATGATCTTTGAGGGCCGTATCTGGCCCACATGCCGTAGTTTTCATAGTGTGGGCCTGCCTTTGGTGGATGAGAGAGTCAAGTTTGTTAGAATTATTGTTGTTGCAAGCTTTTGAGTTGTTTCAGACTGAGGGCGACCCCAAGTCTAAAGTTTAGGGTGGATCAATTATCTTGGAGGGTCGTATCAGGCCCTCAGGTCATACGTTTGGGTAGTGTGGGCCTGCTTTTGGCAGATGAGAGAGTCAAGTTCATTAGGATTGTGGTTGTTGTGTGCCTTCAAGTCATTCAGATATAGGGTGACTTTAGTCAAGGGTGGGTCAATGATCTTTGAGGGCCATATCTGGCCCATGGGCTGTAGTTTGCATAGTGTGGGCCTGCCTTTGGTGGATGAGAGAGTCAAGTTTGTTAGGATTGTTGTTGTTGTGAGCTTTCGAGTTGTTTCAGACTGAGGGCGACCCTCAGTGTAAAGTCTAGGGTGAGTCATTGATCTTGGAGGGCCATATCTAGCCCGCAGGTCATATGTTTGGGTAGTGTGGGCCTACTTTTGGCAAATGAGAGAGTCAAGTTAATTAGCATTGTGGTTGTTGTGTGCTTTCAAATCATTCAGATGTAGGATGACTTTAGTCTAGGGTGGGTCAATGATCTTTGAGGGCCATATCTGGCCCACATGCCATAGTTTTCATAGTGTGGACCTGCCTTTGGTGGATGAGAGAGTCAAGTTTGTTAAAATTGTTGTTGTTGTTGTGAGATTTTGAGTTGTTTCAGACTGAGGGAGACCCCAAGTCTAAAGTTTAGGGTGAGTCAATGATCTTGGAGGGCCGTATCTGGCCTGTGGGACATAGTTTGGGTAGTGTGAACCTACCTTTGACAGATAAGATAGTCAAATTAATTAGGATTGTTCTTGTTGCGTGCCTTCAATTTCTTTCAGATGTAGGGAAACCCCAAGTCTAAAGTTTAGGGTGGGTCAATGATCTTGGAGGGCCATATCTGGCCTGTGGGACATAGTTTGGATAGTGTGGACCTGCCTTTGGCAGTTAAGATAGTCAAGTTAATTAGGATTGTTGTTGTTGTGGGCCTTCAAGTTGTTTCAGATGCAGAGCGACCCTAAGTCTAAAGTTTAGGATGGATAAATGATCTTGGAGGGCTGCATCTGGCCCTCAGATCATAGTTTGGATGGTGTGGACCTGCCTTTGGCGGATGAGATAGTCAAGTTTCTTACAATTGTGGTTGTGCACCTTCAAGTCATTTCAGATTCACTGTGACCCTCAGTCTAAAGTTTATTGCAGGAACCAGGGAAATGGTTCCAAAGGGCTGTATCTGACCCATAGGCCATAGCTTGGGTAGTGTGGGTTGGATTGTTGTCGTTGTGGGCCTTCATTTCAGACTCAGGGCGACTCCAAGTCTAAAGTTTAGAGTGGTCAATGATCTTGGAAGACCATATCTGGCCTGAGGGACATAATTTGGGTAGGGTAGGCCTGCTATTGGTGGATAAGATAGTCAAGTTTATTAGGATTGTTGTTGTTGTTATGGGCCTTCAAGTCATTTCAGACTTATTATGACCCTCAGTCTGAAGTTTATTGCAGGGGCTGGGGAAATGGCTGTAGAAGGCCGTATCTGGCCCACGAGCCATAGTTTGGGTCTTGTGGGCCTACCTCTGGTGGATGAGAGAGTCAAGTTTGTTAAGATTGTTGTTGCTGTGAGCCTTCAAGTCGTTTCAGAAGTAGGATAATCATAAGTCTAAAGTCTAATTTGAGTCAATAAACCTTGAGGGCCATATGTGGCCCACAGGTCATAATTTGAGTAGTGTGGGCCTGCCTTTGCTGGATAAGATAGTCAAGTTCATTAGGATTGTTGTT